TGGGCCTGGGCGCTGTCCCTCAGCTCTTCAGCTCAAGGCTAGCACTCTACCACTTGAGCCACAGCGCCACTTCCGGCTTTTTTCTATTTGCTTATGTGGTGCTGAGGAATCAAACCCAGGGCCTCAAGCATGGAAGGCAAGCGCTCTACCACTGAGCCACCTTCCCAGCCCCAGTATTTCTTCTTTTGAATGTTCATTTGTTTGAGACAGGGTGCCACTATGAAGCCCAGTCTAGCCTCACACTCACAGTACTCCTGTCTCCACTTCCCAAATGCTGGGATTACAGGCATGTGACACTGTGCCTGGCTTCTTTTCTGTATTTCTCATGAGGAAATAAAAGTTCAAAGAGGAAATATAGCCTAACCAAGCTCACAGAACTAATTAGTAACCACGCTTATACTGGAATTTGAAGGCCAAGTATCAAATTCCAAAACTGCAGTGGATAGGGATATGTATCCTTCCCAACCACATGAAAGAAAGGAAAAAAAATAAGTAAAAGACACTTCCCTCTCAGTTTAAAAGTGAAATATTGCCGGGCACAGGTGGCTAACACCTGTAATCCTAGCTACTCAGGAAGCTGAGATCTGAGGATCACAGTTCAAACCCAGCCAGGCAGAAAAAGTCCATGAGACTCTTTATTTCCAATAAACCACCAGAAAACCAGAAGTGGCATTGTGGCTCAAGTAGTGGGGCACTCACCTTGAGCTAAAGAGCTAAGGGACAGTGCCCAGGCCCAGAGTTCAAGCTCCAGGACCGACACACACACACACAAAAAAAGTGAAATATTTATGTTAAAATTTACCTTGGATGATTCTGGCAATTAGTATTATTTCTGATCCCATGAAAATCAACAAAACAGAAAAGTAAACATCTCAGGGGCCATGTGCCCACAAAGCTATATTAAATAATAAAGTGGTTATATTTTTTCTGAAGGAAATGACTAAGAATTCACTGGTTTAACTAAAACAACAACAAAAAACACAGACCTGATAAAATAACATCCCAATTTCAACACATTTATATCATGCCAACTTTTGAATACAAAAATAAAGTTGCTAAACAGTCCTGAATAGAATGGGTAGCTGCAGATAATTTAAACATCTTTGAACTTAGCTGGGCGCCAGTGGTTCACACCTATAATCCTAACTACTCAGGAGGTTGAGATCTGAGGATCACAGTTTCCAAGCTAGCCTGGGCAGAAAGGTGGTAAGACTCCTATCTCTAATAAACTACTCAGAAAAAGCCAGAAATGGGGCTGTGGCTAGAGTGCTAGCCTTGAGCATAAAGTGGCTCAAGGACAGTGCTCAAGCCATGAGTTCAAGCCTCAGGACCAGCAAAAAAAAAACCCTGAACTTCAGCTTCATATAATGAGAACAGTTGCCCTCATCCTTTCTACCTCATATATTCATGAAAAACAAATGAGATTATATGAGAATACTCTGAAAGTAATACAACTGTGGAGCTGACTCACTTGTTCCAAGAACAAAAAAAGTAAACTCCAATTTATCTACACTTAATTAGCCATAGTCAACGATAGACAAAGCTTAACGACTTTTATTAGGCTCAAACCTGGAATAATATGTCTTAAGGTTTAAACAAATACTAATAAATACTATAATTGAGTAAATACTATAATTTTAACAATTATAATAAATACTGTAATTTTTAAAACTCCATAGAAAAAAGTAAAACAATTACATTACCTGATCCAGACCCTGATGTTGTCATATCATAAATTAAGTCTTTTAACGTAGTACCCTCTGAAATAAAAGGTCGATCTAATGAAGGATCCTCTTCATTTGGCACTCGATGGTGAATGACAGTGCGGTTATGGCAGATATATACCATCAACATGAGTGAAATACACACAAAGCAGACTGGTCCAGCAATGACAGCTGCCAGCTCGACTGGACCAAGGCCAGGTGACTGCTTCACTGAAAAAGGGACCCAAGTGAAATAAACATCAACAATAACAAAGCACTGTAGGTAGTACTCACATCTTCCTACTTCCCCACGTTTCCTAACTGCCTGTTGCCACCACTTAGCCCCAGAGCTTCACTGTCCACTCACGGGACTCAAGGCCAGAACAAAATGTATCATGTAGTCTTTCCTCACTGAGTTCCCTTTAGAACCACTAGCTGTCAGCACCCTCTCACTTCTTCCCATGGTCTCCAGCCATATCAAAATCACAAGGCCAACCACCACCAGTATCTTAGGACCATCCATGTGTTACTAGTATAGGAACCAGTAATATGAAACTACCACAAATATCTTTTAAAGTCATCTTTTTTTTTCCTTAAGTACTTGTGCCTTATCTTCTTATTCCAAGGCCAGTATATGCTTATGGCAAGGGAGAAAAGATGTATAAATACAGATAAAAAGCCTAAAAAATTACCTTCTTCCTAACCACCCTGAAATAATTCACATTAAGATTGTTACCTGTTTGTTTTATAAGCAAAATATATCCTTTTTTTGGTGGGGGGGATCAGTTGTGGGGCTTGAACTCTGGGCCTGGGCACTGTACCTGAATTCTTCAGCTCAAGGCTAGCGCTCTACCACTTGAGCCACAGCACCACTTCCAGTTTTCTGGTGGTTAACTGGAGATAAGAGTCTCACAGACTTTCCTGCCTGGGCTAGCTTTGAACCACAATCCTCAGATCTCAGCCTCCTGAGTAGCTAGGATTACAGGGGTAAGCCACCAGCACCTGACTATATCCCTTTTTTTTTTTGGGTCCGGTCATGGGGCCTGAACTCTGGGCCTGGGCACTGTCCCTCAGCTCGTCAGCTTAAGGCTAGCATTCTACCACTTGAGCCACAGCGCCACTTCCGGCTCTTTTCTTTTTGCTTATGTGGTGCTGAGGAATCGAACCCAGGGCCTCAGTCATGCAAGGCAAGCGCTCTACCACTGAGCCAACTTCCCAGCCCCTATATCCCTTATTTTTAAAGTAGAGTTTTGTACACATATATTCTTCTTAGACTATTTTAATCACCTGTGCTTTTGAGTCCCAACCATTTATTTTCTTATAATCTCTTTTTAATAATCTTGTATATTATTTTGGATACATGTTAATTACAATTATTCTGACAGTCATCCTAAGCTTTGCTGATTTGCTATTTACCACCATTTTTTTATATAGTATCTTTCCTATTTTTGAGATCTTCATTTGGATTACTTTAGGGAGAAGTACATCAATATCCACTGAATACTTAGTTATCTAAAGATGGCTATTGTTTTTGTATATGAGAAATCTTGGTTTATTGACAGATTTTGGTGTGACAATCTTTTACATCAGATGTTATAGCTATATTTGTTATCTTTTTATAGGCTAACTAGTGTCTATATGGTTTTTTTCATTCTTGAAAATTATTCTGCTAACAACCATAATTTGTTTAAATATTTTTCACTAATCTTGCTTGATCTTTTCTGTATGCTATGTTATTTCCCGAAACTATAATAAGCATTTTGGATCACCAAGCTTTGTCCTCCATATCTTCATTTGTTCACTTATTGTCTTTTTCTCTAAATTGATACAAAATTACATAATCCCAACCTGCTGTTTGCTCTCAACATTATGTTTAGATAAAACATAGTTTTAAAAAATATAGTTTCTCTAAAATTATAAAATATCCTTATTTTGTAGTGAACAACTGAAGCAGACCTTGGACTGCCTGAAAGTTCTTCCTAAGCGAATGCTAAGACTATTTCAAAGGATAACAATACGCTAATTTATCCAGTTCAGTCTGTCTTCCCCATCTTTGAAAGCTCCAAATCTTTTTCTTTGGTAATTTTTGCTGTTTCCTTACTCTGGAGTTGGAAATGAGGACTTTATTTACCATTAAAAATGAAGTAACTTCTTCACAATATCCTACAAATCTCTATTCTACATTTTAAGCTCAAACAGTGGAAATGCAAAATTCAAGAATTACCATTTTCTTTAACATATTAGAATTACAGGTGCCTACATAATGTCACAAAGAAATGACAGCTAGTGAAGTCATAGTAGAGGGCTGCCTCTCTCTCATAACTGACAGGACTGTGCTTTTTCCTCTGAACTAAAGCAGTACTCCTTACTTTAATCAACATAAAACTTGTACCATCTCTAAGTAATTGATCTGTTCCTGAAACAATGAAACCAAACCAACTTACTTGCCAAGGAGAGTTCAGTTTTGCCCTTACAGAATAATCTCATTCCCAATTCCTCAGTCTAAGGTACTGGTAGTTTTTGCTAGGGATATTTTTATTTACATCTTGTATGATTAATAAATTCTTAAATCCTTAAATCAAAGCAAACTTTCCAGATTCTCACTGGCAAGGAAAAAGGGAAAGCTCAAGTGTATGGTAAGATTAGTAAGTGCACTCTAGCTAGAAAAATCGCTAGGCAGAGAGCAGCCAGAAAAACACTAACTCCTGACACGTCTAGTCATTTGTATAAAAACCACAGCAATTCCTCACAAGTGTTGGCATGTGATGAAATTCTCCTGTTTAGCCTGCTAATGTTAATATAAGTTTTCCCTCATTTTTATATTCCTCAATTATTACAGTAGGAATGTGGGACTTAGGGAGAGAGATAAACTAAAGTTTAACTCAGAACTTTAAAATTAATCCAGTCCTAAGACTCAATGAAGTCTTCAAAGTGCTTGTTCTACTAAGACTTTGATAACAAACAAAAAAAAAGAGTTAGCAATCATATATAGTTAGTTTATATGTAAAGGTCATAAATAAGGTGAAACTACAAAGTTAAAAGCATCTTTAGAGGGCTAGGAAAGTGGCTCAATGGTAGAGTGCTTGCCTTGCATGCATGAGGCCCTGGGTTCGATTCCTCAGTGCCACATAAGCAGAAAAACCCGGAAGTGGCACCTGTGGCTCAAGTGGTAGAGCGCTAGCCTTGAACTGAAGAGTTCAGGGACAGAGCCCAGGCCCACAGTTCAGGCCCCATGACCAACCAAAAAATATAAAAAGCGTCTTTAGAGAAAAAAAAAAAACTCATCTAGACTGTTCAGTGCTGCTGGTTAATCCCTTCCTATTAAAAGCTGATTTAAAAAGTAGAATCAGGACCCATTGCAACAATGAGATGTACAAGTCATTATGTTGAAAAACGAACTTAACAACTTTGGTGGGGGGTGGGGTGATGATTGGGTGGGGGGAAGGGAGGAGTATGGGAAGGGGAAACGAGGAGGCAACAATGCTTGATAAGAAATGTACTGGTTATCTTGCCCATGTAATTGTACCTCCTCTGTAATAAAAATAAAATAAATAAAGTAGAACCATACAATAAAAGAAAACAGGGGCAGGGAAACAGGTCTTAGTGGTAGAGTGTTTGCCTTGTATGCATTCCTCAGTAACACATAAACAGAAAAAGCTGGAAGTAGCACTGTGGCTCAAGTGGTAGAATGCTAGCCTTGAGCAAGAAGCTCAGGGACAGTTCCCAAGCCCTGAGTTCAAGCCCCAGGACTGGCAAAAAAGGAAGGAAGGAAGGAAGGAAGGAAGGAAGGAAGGAAGGAAGGAAGGAGGGAGGGAGGGAAGGAAGGAAGGAAGGAAGGAAGGAAGGAA